TATTTCTTAGGACCTATGCACTTAAATGTCATGCTTCCTCATGTGCTGCATGTCTAATTAATATGTTAAATCTCCACCCCTGGGCATGATGTTTAGTGTTATAATGATGGGAAAACGTAGGTGAAAGTTCAGCAGTGGGGTCCATCTTGGGGCAGATTCATTTGGTCAGGTCTTCACCAGTCTTTGTAGTCTAGTGTCTCCTTTTTGTAAGCCTGCTCCTTTTAGTAAGCATGCTGCCTCCACATTCCTGAAACATATGCTATGTAAGAGCATGGAGTTTTAGCTATCCTGGAAGGTCTATTACTCAAGGACATACAGCTTCAGCTACCAAGGATTGCTGGACTTGGTGGTTAGGGTTGAAAGGACCAGAGTACAGTCTATGCTCTCATTTCCACAAAACAAAAACAAAACACAAAACCCCACTAGATTCAGACAATTTTATAGGAGACTAACAGAAAAAGAGAGAGAGAAATTGTAGAGAAAGAAAAGCATTCATATTTTTCCTTACAAAGTATTACATTGATGGCTGTACCTGATAAAAGCTGCACAAAAAAAGGGAAACTAAAGACTAACTTTCTTACAAGTATTGATATAAAATTCTATTATCAGCAATGCAGAATTCTTGTACCACACCAATTTTTCTGCTTTATTCCTTTTCAGGCTATGTGTGATAGCTTTGTCCAATAATTAGTGGCATAAAAAGCTGGGTATCCTTCCATATTATGCAGGCTATGACATTCTGAAAGGAGAAAAAAAGATGCTGAAAAGTTTTGCTTCTACATAGGATACCTTTCCTTTATCATTATTCCCTTGGGTCTTTGCCCTTTTGGGAGTGCCTCCTCTTCCTCTTGGAACTCTTCTGCGTGGGACTGGGTGTGGTGACTTAAAAGCCACCCCTTGTTTGTGAGAATCCACCACTGCCACTTATGTCTCTGCAGGGGCCAGGGTGAACCCCAGGGGAAAGCAGTCCATCTGTCCCAATGGGCACTGTTGCAGCTTAGCTGCCTCATCTCACGTTGGGGCTACTTGGGTTAGCAGTCCTTTTGTCTCCTGCATTTCACTGCCTGCCTCCTTTTCCTACCTGATTTCCACATTGTTGTTTAGGTTTACATTCTGGCTTGTTCTCTGAATTATCCTGTAGACAATAGGGACCCACAAGTTTTAAACTTTTAGCACAGCAGTTTTGGGGACTAGTTCTCTTGCAGGTGTGAAGACTGGACCTTCTAATAGATGCTAAACCTAGTAAATTGAACTTAAACCATCCTGTGTCATCATTAGGAATATGCTGTCAGGCTGAGAAAGACATGAAGCACCCTTCCTCCTGTCAAAGGCAACAGAATGCCTTCACCATTCACATCACTGAGAACTCTGTCTCTGATGAGGAATTGGGGAACTGGGAGCATGCAGCATTGTCTCTTGATGTTTTTGTATTTCCAATATCTCTATATCCTTTGCCACTAAAAAAAGAGAGAGAAATTTTAATTTGTGCTGGTTGGGCTTCTCTTTTTGTCTTCTTTCTTCTCAGTCCTGCCCCATCATGATGCCTAGGCAGAAGTCACAGCCTTTAAAATGTGGTCCATTCAACCCTCTAGCCTCATCTACTGTCATTCTCTTTCAAGTATCCTGCATTCTATCTTCTCTGGTTTATTCTCTGCTTGGAGAATATTTTGTCTTTTTGTGCTGAGGTCCATGCCCTTCCCCCAGTTTGAAAAGCTTATCTTCCTTGGTCTACCTTATACTCTTTCCGTTCTCTGTCAAATAAGACTTTATAACACAATGATGTGAGATATATTTAGCCCAACCTAAAAGCCCAGGCAGAACTGAGGAACAGTGAAACGAACTTTGAGAGATTAAGTATAGTACCAGCATGAAGAATTCTACAACAAAGTAAAATGAATTATGACTACTAGAATTTGAATCCTGATTCTCTGACTTAGAAGCTTCATGACCTTCTATGCACTTCAGTGTCATCTATAAAATGTTGATGTGATGATTGTTTAGAGGGTTGTGAAAATGCAACAAGAGATCAGCTTTGTAAGTCATTAGCAGGGCATTTGGCACAAAGCAGGCTTTAATAAATCTAACTCATTGTGGGCCTTTTGTTTTCTTTTCAGGATTCACTCTATATTCTCTTAGGTATCTTCTGAGCACTTGAAAAAACAAAGACTCTTCATCCGCTAATCATCTGCTTCCTTCTGCAATCTGGAAAGCCCCAGAGGCCAGAACAAAGAGGGAAAAAAACCAAAAACCAAAAACCAAAAAACCAGTCTCTGGAGGAGTTGCAGTATTTGGCTGTTGGCGGAGGCTAAGAGAAGCAGGGGTGTCCAGGTGGAAAGCAGGATGATAGACTCTTAAGGGGAAAAGAGGACTCCAGTGGGAGATCTTTGAAAGTGATAACACTCCTCATTGTGACTCTGTTGTTCATCTTTGATTTTATGTGGCTCTTCCTGCTCCTCCTGAAGGGTACTGAATAAATCCCTCTTCTTTTGAGTGAAAAGAAGTGTGGACACATCAGAGGAAGCTGAATAGAGAATGCAACAGTAATGTGGGTAACTGACCTGGGGACTTGGTGTGGGGCTGATGGGAGTTTAAAGGCCAGGATCAACCTAGAAAGGAAGATATAAGTCCTCCATCATACTGTAAAGGGCTGGCCAGGTGTGGTGGGTAGTGCTGATATGAAGATCACCACTTGGAAATGGTGAGAGGGTGGAAGGAGAAAGAAGGAACGGGGAGCACTTTGCTTTGCTTCAAAGCTGAGAAAGGAAGGAGTGAGTCCAAACTTTCGATAAGGGAGAGCCGGTTTTCAGAGTCCAAGGGGGAGTTTTGAGAAAAGAAACTGAGCAGTAGGACTGATTGGGAGCACGCTTATTTGGTTGTAGAGGGGAGGCACAGGGTTATTATAAACACAAAGGCTCCATTCAAGTAAGTTATACATTATTGCTTATTTCTTTAAGACAATTTAGATTTGAACTGTGTATTTCCAACACTTTAAATAGGAATGAAAAATCCCCATGTATCTTCTGATTTAGTTACTGAAATTGACTTGTGTAAACTTTTCTTTAGTGATTGGCCCTCCAGGTTTTCACGTATATGTCTACAGGATTGAAGGAAGAGGCAGATTCTGGGCTGGAAAAGTCTTAGAAGAGCTTGACCAAAGCTTTCTGAACAGTACACCTCAACAATCAGGAAGCAATTTTATCTGCATGTTGCTCTAGGTAGTAGCTATGTGGGTGTGTTCATGTGCTAACTTTATAAAAATCTATCAAGCTGTACACCTGAATCTGTGCGCTTTACAGTATGTATGTTATACTTCAAACAAAAAGTTAACAAACTTGGGAACAGACAGTAACGTTAAATGTTTTGGATAGGGCAAGTAAAATAAATAATGAAAAGAAACTACTAGATCAGCCACACATCGTTGATGGGGACCACCACTGATCCTAGCAAGAAAATTTTCAGTAGCAATAAAAAATGAAATAATGAAAAGACAACTAACCTGTCCCGTCATTTGAAAAGACTAATAAATTATATATAAACCTCCAACTGTTCTAATTAAGATGTAAAACATAGGAGGACAAAAAACCCTCAAGGGAATAAAAGGTATGCCCAGAGAGAAGTTGCCAGGGCTGGATAAAGGAGGGATGAGCAAGGAAAGCTGGGACAGCCCTCAGAAGAAAGGTGGATATAGGGCAGTGCCAGAGGAGGAAAATCCTGGATCAGAGGTGAGTGGGATGGTGGGGGAGGCATTCTCGTCCCTCAGGTTTCTCTTCAGCTCTTTAAGCAATGATGGGTCAACTCTGAGTTTGTGGCATCCAGAAAACACATGACAGTCTTAAGGATATGATGAATTATTTTTTTCCCCATTCTTTACTACCAACCTACTTTAAAAAGCTTTCCACTGTCTTCTCATTGTCTATCACTGACAATGTCTCATCCAGTGGTTATACACAGCAAAGTTCTTTTAATATGGCCATGAAGCAGAGCTCAGTACTTTATTCAACCTGTTCCATTATAAGGCATTTCTGTGTTAGGGATTTTTTTTGTTGTTCGTGGTGGTGGTGCTGGTTTGTCGGTTTCAATAAAGACCAGTTTGCAATCATCCTAGAAATTTGGATCTTTAGAAAACTTCTGAGGACTCCCATCAAGCCTGTTGGTATCTGTGTGTGAAGTCAATTAGTGCTACTGGCTAAATAGAAGGAGCAAATATATGTTCTATGGTTAGGATTGGGAAACAGGAAGAGTGTCTAGTGCTTGATTAACAGAGAACATGTCTATTGTAGTCTGGGATCCTGGGGCAGTCCTTTCCATCAATCTGACATAACCAATTATTTAGGGATATACTCATGATGAAAAATTAAAAGGGAAAGTGGGGATCATAAATATTTCTGGACAGTTTATTATCTCCCACAGAAACCACTAATATTGTTCTCTTCCTGAATCCATCAATTTATTTCTTCAAGGATGCTTTATTCATCTATTGTCAAGGCACTGTACCGAAGACACAAATGTGATGTGTTCAATCTTAAGAAGTTCATTGTTTCATTCAATAATTAAGGATCAGAAACTTAACATAAAAAGTTAGAAGACAAACTCCTGTTTTCTCATTCATTCTATGGACACTGTTTGCTATGATCTTTTTTTTTAATAGACTTGTGTATCACAGCTATGGTTCACACACTTGGTATAAGGCCATGAATAAGACACACATAGTTAACTGAATGCAATAAAGTCATAGGTAGAGTATTAGGATCTTCAGTATACCTCCTTCAAAGGTCAACATGGGAGATTCCATGAAAGCTCAGAAAAAGATACCTAATTTAGCCTCAGCATGGGATGGGGAATGAAGTAGAGAAGACTCCTTAAAGAGATAAGCCATGAGCCAATACTTGAAAAATAAACAGAAATTAGGAAGGTGAAAAATACTAAGAAAGATGGAAGGAGGAACAGGGTAAATTGTCAGATTTCAGTTTTCTGATCTTGTAGTCCACTGAGTTGAAAATGCCACCAGGTGTCCCTAGCACTATACAGTGGGGAACAAGTCTTATAGGACTAAATCCATTTCTTACATTGTTTTATGTGTTAACAGGAAAGCAATTTCATCTGTGATGCTGGGGATACCATATAACCACACAAGGGAAAACCCTGACACCTTCTTCCTTGTGGGCATCCCAGGTTTGCAGTCTTCACATCTTTGGCTGGCTATTTCATTAAGTGCCATGTATATCATCTCTCTGTTAGGAAACGTACTCATAATGACTGTAATCTGGATGGATTTCACTCTACAAGAGCCCATGTATTGCTTTCTGTATATTCTGGCTGCTGTGGACATTGTTATGGCCTCCTCTGTGGTACCCAAGATGGTGAGCATCTTCTTCTCAGGAGACGGTTCCATCAGCTTTAGTGCTTGTTTCACTCAGATGTATATTGTCCATGCAGCCACATCTGTGGAGACAGGGCTATTGCTGGCCATGGCTTTTGACCGCTATATAGCCATCTGTAAGCCCCTACACTACAAGAGAATTCTCACACCTCAATTGATGCTGGTAATGAGTGTGGCCATCACTGTCAGAGCTGTCATATTTATGACTCCACTGAGTTGGATGTTAAGTCATCTGCCTTTCTGTGGCTCCAATGTGGTTCTCCATTCCTACTGTGAGCACATAGCTGTAGCCAAGTTGTCATGTGCTGACCCTATGCCCAGTAGTCTCTACAGTGTGATTGGTTCATCCATTATTGTGGGTTCCGATGTGGCCTTCATTGCTGCCTCCTATCACCTGATTCTCCGGGCAGTATGTGGTCTCTCCTCAAAGAATGCTCAGCTGAAAGCATTAAGCACATGTGGCTCTCATGTGGGGGTTATGGCTCTGTACTACCTACCTGGGATGGCATCCATCTATGTGGCCTGGCTAGGGAGGGATACAGTGCCCCTCCACACTCAAGTGCTGTTAGCTGATTTGTACCTGGTCATCCCACCCACCTTAAACCCCATCATTTATGGCCTGAGGACCAGACAAGTATGGAAGCGAACATGGAGCTTGCTGATGCACTGCCTCTTTGACCACTCCAAACTGGGTTCATAAACACACATTCTGTTCAGATCTCGAGCAATCAAGAGGACTCAAGATCAAGCATTCAAAGACGTCTTAGAAATCTGTAGAGCTGGTTTGGTGTGCCTAGCACCATAAAGAGTTCTAAGATGAAGTTATAAAGTGTATTCTTGTCCAATTTTCCGACTTCTAGCAAGAAGTGTATGAAATGATTAATTTTCTGACATTTTTAACGATTTCAATCAACTAGTATCTGTGTGTAAGTCTGGGCAGAGAATATAGATTTGGGGTTTTTCTTTCCTTAGCTTCTGACCCTTATTTTCAAATGAGTATCAGTTGAACCAACTGTTTGGCCCCTTACACCTGACTGATTTTTATCAGGATTATTAATTTACTCATGTGATTATTATGGATGCAACTGTTAATATGTAACCCTGCCTTCTGGCCCAGTGATGAATCCACTCAATCTGGGTCTACTTGGGTCATGTGCTTACACGTGGACCACAGTCCTCTAGCCAAACTGAGTCCCAGTTTATCTGAGGAGATATAAACTTGGGATCACTGACTATGGTCATTTTCTAACCCGTGAACTTGCAAAGAGAAACATGTTCCACAGCAAGATAAGCAGATTAGCAAGATAAGCAGATTAGCAAGATGAGATGAAGAAATGGGAGTCTCTTGTTCTCTGATTCCAATTCATTTTGGGCACCTAGGTGCATCCCTGTTATTAAATTCTGTAAGATACTTCTATATCCTTTCAATTTATCCCTATTGTTAAGCTAGTTGGAGTCAGCATACTAATCACCAGCTTTTTGCTTTGAAGTAACAGAAGCTAAGGCAATGTGAGTTTGATTGTGGACATCTTTCTCTTTGCTTCCCAGTCTGGTTCTGTATAACTTAACTGCAAGGCATAAAAGAAAGGGATCAAATATAATATAGGTCTTTTTTCAACTGGACACCACCATGGAAGTATGCTCTGGGATGAGACGGTTAATAGTGATCAGTAACGAAGCTGAAAGGTCCCTATTCTTTTCCACATTCCAAACATGTATTTGGTCTTTGTTTTTATTTTTCCCTTTTGGAAAGTCTTAAAGTGAATAACCAGTGTATATTGAAATAAAAAGATTTCAAATGTAAAAGATACATATATTTGACTCTGGTACATTTGAAAATCTTAATAAAACATAACTTCCTAGTACTGTTGATAACAAGTTATTATATCTGAGTCTTACTATTTCCTTGCTATTGATGGAGGATACAATGTTAATTCAAAGAACACATTAAAGATTAAAGAAATAGTTAATAGAAACCACATAACACAATATCTGACATATTGTCTGTACTTAAAAATATACCAAATAAATTTCTAATTCCATACTTTTAAGGAGCAGTTCAAGGCACTATTCAAAGTGTATTCCCATGTAGGTCAACACTCATGTGATAGCTGTTCCAAACAATCTGCTTAACAACTTGGCATCCATCCCTTTTGCCAGTACTAAATTACTTGCCTACCTAGAATGTATTCTATTTCTGAATATCAGTGAGGTAGGAATCAGCTTCTAAAAACCTGGTAGTAATGCACTGAGTTCCCAAAGAGTATGAAAATGAAACTCCTCCTCAACGTAAAAACAAATCAACATCATGAGGTGGTTAAATGCATTTGATAAAATTTCTATTTTGAAAAGTCACACTGTTGTTTCCCTATAAGCAACCCAAACAACTATATTCGTCAAATACAAGAATATTAGATATGGTAAAGAATGTGATGTAGAGCAACAAAGGCATAGTTCAGCCTGCACTCAAAACAGTAATTTCTCCCCAGCATTTCCCTCAGAAGTCTGCCCTGCTTTGTGTTTCATTCACACTGGTATTCCCTGAAACTAGCTGGGACCCACTGTTAGTGCTCAGATATTGAACTACATACTTCCAAAGTGGACTAGTTTCCTGCCATGGCTACCCCCAAACAGAAAATCCCGTGCTTCTCTTAATAGATCAGATATGACCCCTGTCCTCTCACACTAATCAATACATGCCATTTAACTAGTGCCTAGGACCCACAAAGAGTCTCAGTGTTTGGATCTTGAGAGATTAAAATACATCCTGCTTGAAAAATGGGAGACTGGATTTCCTGTAGGGAGTCCAAGAATTCTCCCTGTCTCTCTGCAGGACTATTTCCCCCTTTCAGTCTTTTGCCTTAAGGCTCAGGCATTGCACCCCTTGTTTCTCTGCTAGCAGAATAAGGATAGGCAAAGCTTATCCCTGCCTTGTAGTGAATGATCTCACCTAGATGGAGGAGATATCCTAGACATTCAAGGGAGCGGCACAGACACTCTTCTCTGCATGATCCCCTGCTTCCTCCTTTTCTGGGCCACTTTTGTGATTATCTATTGAATCATGTTTTTTTTCGACAGAATTATAATTAAATACCATAGAGTTGTTCACACCCCTATGACACGAAAGCTTACTTTTGTTTTGATTCTAGGCATATGAATGAAAGTTCCCTCATTTAAATATTTACACACACACACACACACACACACAGAGTGCTAGACTGGGCTAAAATTGTGAACCAGACAAATAAGTTCTTGTCTTCACGGTGTTCTTAGAAAAGAAGAAGAAGCAGTTATCCTAGAGAAAAGGGTTTTCATATACTTAAGAGTCAAGATTCTTGCCTGGTCTTAAAAATCAGACAATATGAAATAAACAATGTGTTTAACCTTGTACTTCTCACAGGTAATCATAGCCCCCAAATCAGCTTATAAAAGTAAAAAAAAAACAAACCAAAAAACCCTTCCCAAAACAGCATGTTAACAATGAAGTCATTCCACTACTCAAGTCACTCTACTTTTAAATGATTTTATCAGCTAAAAATCCTTTTTCTAAGAGACTTTCAGGATTAGTCCTAATAAAACCATAGTAAAAGAACAACACTGGTTTGTTTCCTAGCTTCTTCAGCTAAGCGTCCATGGACATAACTGGAAGAACTTCCTAAAAATTGATTTCTCAAGTTTATAAACAATTCCTCAGGGAGTCCCCCTATACAAAGACATATGGTCCCTTTAATATAGGTCAGCTCAATCCTTTGCCAAGACCAGGTCTGTGACTTACCAGTTCATTCCTCTCCAAGCAGAGAATGGAAACTTCTCCCCTTCTGCTAATGCTTGAGGAGGGACTTGGAAGCATAATGGGCAGAATGAGTTTATTTCTCCATTTTAGCCTGTTTTACCTCTTCCATATGTGAACAACCAACACAATTAAAGTAGAAAGACAATATTTACGCTTCTTTATTACAGGAATTACTTTGCTTCTGCCTATACCTGACCTGGTAATTATTTTGCTGCCCAATCCTGATTCAACAGTCACTACTTTCAAGCTTCCACTACATCAGAAGTTGTGTTCCATAGCACCACGGCGACAATGTTGATGTACACATCAGAGCCCCTTGCAACAGGCAAGGCCAATGGTTTCCACATGCTTGCTTTGCAATTTATCTCCAGGCACAAGCATTCCCACATCATACACTTAAGCCCTGTAATGTATTATTTTTGGCACATATAACCATCACTCTAAGGTCAACAGCCCAGATACATAGTTTTACTTCCCTTTCATTATAACGTATGGCTCCTAAGTTGGCTTTTCATGCCCTTTCCTTCTTGTCATAGATTTAGAGAAGAGAAAGGCAGACTATTACATAGTTACCAGAGCCATGAAGAGTCCCTTGGTGATAAAAAGAGCCCAACTAGCTTGTGGGTGAGCCTTCTTTCCACTGCATCTGTTTTAAATTTTTCTTTTTATTATTTCCATTCTCTACCCTGATGTCACAGTCCCCATTCTAATCCAAACAATAACATATACAATAGATGCACAACATATCACGGTGGCCCAGAGTCTGCCATTGACAAGGGACCTTTCTGTCTAATGGGCTGAGATTATCAGGAGAGGCTCTATGAAACAAAGGCACTGCTGTACGGATGCTGGCTCTAAGCAGGCAAGGTGGGAAGGCTACTGCAGGCAAAATCCATGGCCTGCCTTTCTCCATGCCTGAGAAAGGAAAAATACAGGTTGGATCTGAGATCTTCAAAACAATCCTGTGAGGTAGGAGGGTCTGCAATTTCTATACCCACTTTTCCATTGAGGACACCTAAAACCCAACACTGGGATGTTTCAGACCCAACTATAATGAATGATACGCAGACAGGTGACCCGAGAAGCAAGTCTGTCCATCTTGTTTCATTTGAATGTGGGAAATACTTTATAAGCTTTATAATCTTTTTTCAACCGTTTTGTGAGAAGTAATTTACTGCATTTAAGGCCACTTCAGTTTTTTTCATCCATAAAATGAACACAAGAACAAGGCTCACAGGTTTTCTGATCCTGACACTTGGGAGAAAAGGCAGGACCAGGACACAGATCTCCTTAGGTCTGAGATAGAGTGACTTTCCCGGCTTATGCTCAGAGAGGGGTTATGCATATTGGGGTGGCCTGTGCAATGCTGCAAGGCACTTCTCTAGTTAGGGGGTCAGAGAGTTGGGGTCAAATATGGGTTGCTCAGTAGCAGCAAACCTCAGGCAAAGCATCCTCAACTAGTATCAGCACAGCAACCAGCTCTGGACATGAACAAGTATCTTTTGGCTTTTTAGCAATCCCTATGCAAAGGGTTTCCTCTAGGTTGGATCTACTTCATCATTCTTGCTGACTTAACTATGGCACCCACAGGGACTGGGGAAGAGGAGCATGAGCTACAGAAAGGACAGAGTCCTGACTCTCACAGCAACACGGTTACCTTACAACTGCTCAGATCCTTGCTCTTAGCCCTGTTATGCTTCCCTCACTGGGGTGCCATGCTCATTTGACTGCACCTCAGCTTTTTCATAGGAGTAGGTTAGTGAGAGACCTTGGCCCAGTAGCAACAGACTACTGGGTCAGGTGGAGGGCTCCCTGGATCTTAGACTCAGCATAGTTCAAGGGGATCCTTGTTGGTGGTGGACCCTCCAAAACCTGTGTGGGCCAGGTGACACTCCAAGGCCTCTGGCTAGGATGGTGGCCCTCTTAGTCCTCCCCGTCCAGGGAGCAGATGGCCAGAGGAGCCGTGTTGTTCGCTCCAATGCTGTAGCAAGGACTAAAGTAGGGCAGGAGACGCCCGGGGAAGGGATAGTGGGGGAAAGTGAAAATATGGGAGCCATTGTCAGTCACATTGTAGAAAGAGATATCATGGGCCTCATAATCCAGGAAGACCCCCACCCGGCGGGGAGGGACAGGCAAGGACAGGAGTGGGTATTCATCGGTGCCTGCTCGGTACTCATTTCCCTTCCGCAGCCTGATCACCCAGAATCCATAGTGGGGGGATAAATAGACCACCTCCTTCCGGTCTACATTTTCCTTACACACTCCCAAGCCCCATTCCGACCTGTCTCCCACTTCCACCTCCCAGTAGTGCCGGCCTGAGGAGATGCACTGGCTTCCCAGGACGATATTGTAGCGGTAAAATCTCTCAGGATTGTCAGGCAGTTTCTGCTTGGTGTCTCCATAGTGCACGCATTTTCTGTCCTCAGACACAATGAGGCGAGAATAAGCGGTATCTGGATCCAGGCGCACATCAGCTGGGAATAAAGATCCTGGTTGGAGACACTGACATGCAGCAGAGGGTGTGGGCATGGTCTGATAAACACAGCCACAGGTTTCTTAGAGACGAGCAGGATGGGGGAGAGCGGGGGCATCCAGAAGGCACTCAACCATTTTCATTCTCTAGGAGGGGTCCCTCCCACTGCCCACCATAACCTCTCCTAGCATTCGTTACCTGCATATGTCTTCAAAATCTCTCTTAGCCCCAGCACACGACAATCTGTCTTTAGCTCCAGGGAGACTGGTTCTGGCCTCTGCAGACTCCAAGACTTGCTCCTGGCAGAGAAGAGGTAAACTTTGGGGCCAGAAGTCCTGCTTTGCTATATGGGCCTTCCTTACTATAGGAAAGACAGGCTTGGCCAGAGATAGTCAGTGGGGTGCCCCTCCCCAGCAACACCAGGCAAAGCAGAGATGTGATTATTTGACTGAGCCTGAACGGTTTGTGGCACAGAGAGAACCCTGGCATCCCCGTGCTGGGGGGAGGGGCAGATGTGCATTTGGCACTGGGAGAGGAAGCAGTGTGCCACAAAAGAGGAAGGCGGATACTCAGGCTGGAGCACAACTGGAGACATCTGCGGTCTTTGTTCCTTTTTTGGGCAATCACCTGAGACTGCTTAATTTATAACTTTGTCTGAAATTCTTAACACTTGAAATGAATTTGACTGAGTACAAAGGAAAAAGAATGAGGAACAAAGCTTCTTTAGCAAATATAATGAAAGGTGATGCTTATGCACCACTCTTCTGTGGGTGCTGGGTCTATGTTCCTTTCCCGCTTCTGCCTCTGGCCCGGGCCCATTATCCCCTTATAGGGCTGCTTAGGGGCTCCAAGGATGGAACATACCTGTTTAAGACTTCCTGAATACCCTAGAAGGAGGAAAAAAAAAGCAGCATATGAGTATGTGTTATTCCTCAGATGGACCAGACAGCAATGAGCTCTGGGAGGGGGTTTCTCTGAAGAAAGGGAGGTAGAGAGCAAGGCTGGACTTCTTAACTTCAGGCTCCACCTTGGTTCCCAGGCCAGAGGGTAGGGGCGGGTATTATGGCAGAGCTGCCTAAGTGCTATCCCACCTACCAGGCGACAAGAGGCCATGCCAGGGGTAGAGCAGCAGCATAGTGGAGGGGGTGGTATATGGGATCCACGCCTGGTGGGCACAGTGCTGACAGATCCCACTGAAGACTAGCTAATCTTCTCCTAGAGTCCCACACCATCTTCAGCTCTCTTTTAGAGTGCCCAGAAAAACCCGCCACTCACCTGCAGCATCCAGCGGACAGGCCTCTGAGACCTCTCTTCCAGTTCTGCAATCATCCTCCACAGCACCTGGCTCTGCTGGACAAGCTCATTATGATTCTGCTCCAGTTTTTGCACAGTCTCTGCCTCTTCCTGCTCTAGACTGGCCAGAGCTGCGGCTGCTTCCACCTCCAGCCGCCGACCTGGAGGCTGTGTTTTTTTTAGTAATCGCCGGTATTTCTCAAACTCCCACATGATACTCTGCTTTCGGGTTTCCACCTGTATCTGGAGGGCCAGGCAGGACCAGAAATCAGCACTGATTCTGATAGGACCCCCAGGACTGAGGGTACTGGCACTTGCACACACACACACACACACACACACACACACTCTGGAATGTGTGGGTACCATGCATCAGGCACTGCAGAAGCCACAAGAAAGGAGACTGTTTTGCCTACCTCTCTGTTCCCAGAGCTCCAGCACATGCTTCTGGGTCCCTATCACTACTCTTACTGGGCCTAGTAGGGCCTAGAATATTATTTTGGTACTATATGCTCTAGGCTATTTTCTGGTCTCAGAATAATATATTCCATTTTCAGAATAATGACCAGAGGGATTGCACTTAGGCCTCTAAGGCAGTGTAACTTAACTACACTGTGAACTTCACTCCTTACTGATACCCTATCAGTTCACTATGCTTTCTTAGGCAGGCTGAGTGTTACCCTCTGTGGATCAAATGTTCTCGTCCTCAAATTTATTACAGGGATGATTTTCTAATATTTTAATAACTTTTAGTAAAAATGCTCTACCTGGGCAAAGAGAAACAGAAACCAGGCTTTACTAAGCATTATATAATTCTTAAGCTGTGAACTAACAACACATACCTGAGTCACATGGTTTTCCTTTCTCACATATGCAGACATAAACCCAGAGGTTATCCCTTTATCACTACCAAGAAACTGGAATTGGGAGGGTACATGGCCTAAGGTAGAGCATGCTGGTTGGAGAACTCCAGGCTCTCTGACTTCAACACCACATTCTGCCTCACAGAAACAAGGAAGAAGCGACCACAGGCCAGCTCCCGGACAACACAGTGACCATCCAGCCTTCCTGCCCCAGGTGGCAACCTGCCTTCCAGGTGGCAGTTCGTTTCCTCTCACCAACTTCCAGCTTCCAGGCCTCATCTTGCTCTTTCCTCAGATGCTCCAGAGCCTCGTGGAGTTTCCACTGAAAGAAGGAAAAACCTTGTGAGGACACATCAGGCAGCCCAGGTTGATGATGAGGCTTCCTAGTATTGGCAGGTGATTGGAAAACAAGCATCCCTTGGGCAATGGGCCAGAATGAATATCACAGAGGGAGTGATTCCTGTCCAGATGACATCCAGGGCAGTTTTCCAACCCACAATCATGTCAACTCCTACAGTTTTCTAAGTTTCTGTGAAGTAGAAGAAAAGGTCCATCTCCAACCTTAGACATTCCTATCCATGCTTATTTTTATCCATATCTGCCTTGTTATCTCAAGGCATCTTAAAACCTTGTTATTCAAAGTGTGGTCCAAGAGGGTTAGCAGCAACCACATTACCACAGAGTTTGCCAGAAATGCAGAACCCCAGCCTCACCCCAGGACTACTGAATTAGAACCTGAATTCTAGCAAGATTTTCAGGTGGATTGCATGCAAATTATAGGTAAGAAGCACTATCCTAAAATACTGCAACAGTAGTATATTGTTGGAAACCATAATGTGTTCTGATAAAAATATTAACCATTTTATTAAAGATTTACTAGGTGCCATATGTGGCTTCAGCACTAAACCTACATTTAGTACTCATGACCCTTTAAGTATTATCCCTATTTTATAGATAAGAAAACTGAGGCTTAGTGAGTGAACTACCCAAAGTCATTCAGCTAATTAATGGTTGGGCTGGGATTTAACCCATTTCTCTAACTGCTACGCCTATATTTCATTGCCTCCCTGTTTTAAAACTCAAAGTAAAATGAGTGAGTAAATACTTGTAATTTTTTAGAAATTATTCATGCATAGGAAAACACCTAATTCAGGGAATTTGTCATACGCTCTTACCTTCTAACCTTAACTTCAAGAAAGAGAATTAAGACCAGTATTAGATCAATGGATCACAGTCACTGGGATAATGAATCTGATAAAGACATGTCAGCATGGACAGCTGGAAGCTGATGAAGGTAACAATAGAAACGGAGTAGCAGGTGTGACAGAAATGACCCCTGCCCCCCAAAAAAAGAAAGGGTGGGGAGAGGAGAAAGAACACTGGCTGAAGAGCAAGACCTGAGTCCTGGCCCTTGATCTTCCTTTACTTAATTTAACTGAAAGTCAGAGACATCTTATAAAGTTAGATTACTCCCATTCAATCCTAAATAATTTAGCCACAGTCCCTTCCAGCTCTAAAATCAATGATCATGCCCTCAAATTTCTAAGCCTCAGTTTTGTTTATAAAAGAGGGAATTGAAGTGACTGCCAAATGACTATTGGTGGCAGTGTGAGGAGTCTGTGGGTTCTGCGGGTTGCAGCCTTGACTATCTCATGCCCAAACTCCTCCAAGGAACTTGGCGGAGCTAACCCAAATTGGCCTCCTTCAAATTCTCGGTATTGAAAGCATGCTTGGATTAGGCATTAGCCATGCTGGGATCAGGGAAGGGGTGTAGACATGGGAGGTTCCCATGTAAGGAAAGGTGTGGCTCAATTGCATCAGGGCCCCAGGATCTGTGGGTGGGAGGAGCCAAAGGAATCAGCTTTCATTTAGTCTCTGGGGCTCCTGGTCAAGTTCTAGATCTGGAGATAACCAAGAATGGGGCAGGGAGAGACTGAGAAGGCTGGCCTCCCATCTCCCACCTTATATTCCCAGGTGACATCCTCCATGGGTACGACACTGTGGGCCTCATGCTCAGGAGACTGGCTGCAGGCCTCACAAACGATCAGTCCATCCTCTTTGCAGAACATCTTTAGCTGCTCCTTATGGAGCTCACAGACATCACCCTTCAGTCCCATTCCTGGATGCAGCCCCAGCAGACGAACTTTTTCTACAACATTGGCCAGCTGCCAATTGGGTCGCAGGTTCCTTGGCTGGACTGGAGCCCGGCAGAGGGGACAGGTGTAACCCCAGTTCTGGGATTCTCCTGGGACCTCCCACAGTCCAGAGAGACAGCCATGGCAGAAGCTGTGGCCACAGTCGATGCTCACAGGCTCCCTCAGGAAGGTCATGCAGATAGGACAGGCAACTTCTTCCACCATGGCTTCCACCAGTGCTGCAGGATCCATGGCTCCTTCTCACTCTGTCCTCAGACAGCCAGGTAGAAGTAGTCAAAGCTGAGAAGAAGAAAAAGAAAAAAGAAGTAAGATAAAAATGTTCTTCTGTTAAAAAGCATAGGGATCAGCAAAAGGGAGAATTAGTGACTGAGAAAAAAAAAAACCAACCCAACAACCCAACAACTTCCTCCTTTGGGTCCTTTATTGACCTTGGTTAACGTAACTGGTGGCCTTCCCAACTGAAGTTCTGACTGGGTCACATTACCCATACCAGTGTAGAGACATCTGGGGATGCCTAAGTGAATGGATATTGGGAGTTTTCTGTTTTCATTCATTTGGACATCTCTGAATCTCCTCTGAGTTTGCTCACCAGACCATTTCCACCCTACTTCAATCACACTCTCCAAATCAGTATTGTTTCTCTTGAGCTTGGGAAAGGTCCCACAAAATGTGGTGTTTTAGTATTCAAAATAAGGCCAGAAATACCCCTAGCCTTCCTCTCTAGTATGTTTATATGTATATATATTTCAAGTGCAGAAAAGGTAATACGCTGGAAGACGACTGCCTATATGCTCAGTTTGTTCTCCTGTGTTGCACACTTGAGTATAAAGAATATAAAATGTATGTAAATTTCTCCACAGCCTCTAAACCCCTGCCCATTTCTCTAGCATTAGCATTCACTAAGTTGCCAAGACACTCTTCTTCACCTTCAGTGATATGTTTAGAAGCAGAGATGAAATAATACCCATTGGAAGATAAAAACACAGCTCATTTGATGATAGTCAAACCCATATTGATGGAAGTCACTACCTCAGCAAGAAACCTGAGATTTCTGTCCGGACCAGATATGAGTATGGAACTTGAATGATCAATGGCAGGCTCTTGGCTCAGTAGACAGTATTTCTTTGTTTACTATCCAAGTTTGTGCTACTGGCTAGAATCTATAAAGGGAAGAACCCTGTAGCTTAGTCATGGCTGTATCCTCCACACTTAAACGGTGCCTGCCATGCTGCTATTGATGAATAAATAAACTAGCCAGACAGGAAATAGCTCCTAGACCTAAAATCTTGTTATAATTTGTTAGGTAATTGAGAGCATATTATACAGTAAAAATAATAGCAAACACTCCTCAAGCACTTACACTGTGTGCCAGGCAATATTCTGAGCCCTTTACACAGATTAACTCAGTTTATTTCACAACCCTAAATCAAAACATTCTATTGTTTTCATTTTACAGATGCTTGGTCCTGGGGTCCACCATTCTATCTTGGGCAAATTACTTAACCTCTCTAGCTTCGAGGTAGAATAAAAATTCAAGAGAGAGAAACTGGGTGCCTGGGTGGTTCAACTGGTTAAGCCTTTGGCTCATGTCACCTCAGGGTCCTCAGGGATCAAGCCCTGCATCAGGCACCCTGTTTAGCAGGAAGTCTGCTTCTCCTTCTCCCCCTCCTCCCTGCTTATGTGCATTCTCTCTCTCATAATAAGATCTTTTTTAAAAAGAGAGAGAGTGAAATCACTGTGATTTAGGATAGTCCAGTAGGTTTCCTGAAGAACCTGGAGTAGTATGTAGATTTTGCAGGACTCTCTGTTACAGGCTAGCAGCAGGCCACACCTTTTCATTGGCCTCTGTGCCTCCTGACTGTCCACCTCCCACTATCACTGCCAAAATGCAGGACCCAGTATCCTCAAACCTAGTTTTGTGAAATCCCTAACCTATGGAGGTCCTCTCCTGGTTCCCCACCATCAGTCCAATAGGGAAGCTCTCTAACCCTGAAACAGCAATTGTGCCCAGTTAAGCAAAGAGAGAAACTTCCACTTTCTTACAGACCCCATGTCCCTTTATTCTACCTCACTTGGGTCCCTGCTGTTTTCACAGCTTGAAATGACTTCTCCATGATCCTACTCTTAACATCATCTGAAACACACACGTTTATCACCTTACTTCCCACACCGGAAGCTTAACAAGGATAGGGATATTCTCTTACTTTGTTCCCTACTATATCCCCAACATAAAGGAGAATGCCTCAAACATTTTTTGAATATGAAAGAATTAAGTGTAAACGTTGAGGTCTGATAGTAGGTTGGGAGTGGAAGTATCAATATCCAGTGGAGCACTAAGAGCTACCACCTAAGGGTACAAAGAGCAACAAAGCCACAAAGATCAACAGGAGAACACCAACAGAAATCGAAAATTGAGAAGATGGTGGCAGTAGGAAGGTGAGGTAAAGAAGTATCAAAACGATACATCAAGAAATGAGGCAAAAGCATATTTTAGATTTCTGAGTCATAAAAATTTAAACGTGAAAAAGTTCAAAGTGGTGGCCTCCGCAAGAAGGACTTAGGGTCACGTAGCTACTTTCGCTCTTCCATATAACACCGGCTTTATTGATTTATTTTTTTATTATACATGAATTGCTTTGACAAAATTTTAATTATTAAACGTTTAATTGCTTCGACCTTGCCTTTACCAGGGTGGGGAGCCAGTGCGGGAAACGCATTTCAGGGCGGGGGCCAGAGCGTAGAAAAGCCTGGGGAGGAGAGGCCAGAGTGAAGAGACAGGCGAGGGCGGCCGTGACCCCCCGGGAGTTCTGGAGCAGAGGGGGATGGTAACCTCCCGGCCACGAGTAGGCGGAGCAGGGCCCGCGGACAGCCGGACAGCCCACGGGTGCGGACAGAAGAAAGTGAGCCTGCAGGACTTCCGACTTCAGAACAGGCACAGCTGTCCACCCACCTCCCTCCTCAGCCGGGTCTAGCGCCCCGCGGCGGAAACCGAACGTGGAGACTCCCGGTTGCCACCGCCAAGCGCTCCCGGCGGCACAAGCGCCCGCTCAAGCCACCGCAGCACTTACCGCCCGTGGAAGATGAAGGCCCCAAAACGCCCGGCTCCTCTGCTCCCGCAGGGCTCCCAGGCCCCGCCCACAGGCCCGGAGCCAATGAGCGGCGGGCAGTGCCCATTTGCCGGATCGCACGCCGCCGGCGTCTTTGTAGGAACAGCCAATCACAGACAGGGATCCAGACAACTCTAGCCAATCGGAGATAGGCTCTGGGCGTGCTGGTGTTTTTTTTTCTCTGCTGCGTCGTTTTTTCTGGCTCCTTCCACTCCGAGTCATTTAAACTGTGAAGGGGCTCAGGAGTCATTCCCACGTCAGGGGGAGGGGTGTCGGCTCCCGAACGAGGCCGCTGGAGCCCTGCCTTAACAGAGGCCCCGCTGACTCTCGACCCACGGGACACACTCAGTCTCACGCTTCTGCTCTGACGACAGAGCGAGCCTTGTTCCTTCCAGGTAATAGCACCGGAGACCTAATGCTACTCCTTTCCCAGTTTTCTGTGTTAAACTCAGCATCCTATGAGGTCAGTCGCGTCTGGTTCTGTGACCCAATTTAGTGCGGGGCTGAGCACTCCTGTGCAGTTTCTTGTAAGATGAGCGACCTCTCCTGGCTCCAACTGCAGATACTGGGTTCTTAGTGAAAAACAAAACAAAACACCCCCCCACCCCCACCACCCCAAAGCCCTCCTACGTTTTCCTGGCAAACTCTTGTCCTTTGATACTTAAGCAGGCAGCTTCTTCTTATTGCCACAGTCCACTTTAAAGTTAAAAACAGACATGGGGGTTAAGGAGTGCACTTTTCTGATGAGCATCCAGTGATGTATGGAACGGTTGAATCACAGTCCTACACCTGAAGCAATAACATTGTATGCTAACTAACTGGAAGTGAAATAAAAACTAAAAAAACAAACAAACAAACAAACAAAAAAAACCCAAAAAAAACCATACTGGGATCTGGTAGAGTTGAAGTGGAATCCCTGGTTACAAATTGTCGTTATTATTACTATTTTGTAAATTTTAAATGACTGCCCCCCCTTCACTCCAAAGACATAGAGTCGGTCACGTGCACACACAAACTGCTACTTAAGGCAGTGATTTGGGTTTTTCTTTGCACTTACAGCACCTTGTCCTTCTCCTGATATTTAGGTGTTGACTGAATAAGCAAATAAAGGCATATCCTGTGGACATGGAATATACTCAAGAAATGCTGCCACTGAAGCCCAGTTCCAGACGATTTCATTGTTGGGACTCCTTGGATCCTCATGCCAATGTCTGGGCTCAGACCATAGTTAAAACTCTGAAGAGTGAAGACCAGAAAATTCCTGAAACAAATGGGGCCATGAGCAAAAAAACAAAAAGAAGAGGTAACTGATGTCTCAGTTGGATCATCTTCTTCACCAGGATGTGGACAAATTGCTGTCATAACAGAAGAGTCAGTGGGTTGAGTTAACCAAGCCACTTTAAACATTTATTGAGCACCATCTTTTTGTAACATTTTGTACTGGGTGCTGGTATTATAACTATGAGCCACATAGTCTCTGTTCTTCAGGAGCTCAAGATCAAGTTGGTTGTATTTTGAACATTCTGTGAAGTTAAAATAGTTAATGGGGAGATCATTTTCATTTGTAACTTGCAATTGTCCATGACCATGACTGACTCTCAAGGGCCCAGACAAAAGGGCACCTTAGGGTTGCTGGGGGAGAGGGCTTGTGTTCACCAAGGGAAGGCTGTACAGAGAGCTTTTGAAGGCCTATCAGCCCATCACCCCTCCAGAGAAGCTGTCCTTCCCAACCTCACTCAGGGTGCCTTGTTTGCTGTGAAAAGCAGACATGTGTATGCAGGCGAGGCTCTGTTTCAGAGACATTCATGGCTGTAAGTGCAGACCACAACCCTCTGTCTGAATCCAACACAGACCAGTACAACAAGGTGAGTGGCTAGCTGTGAGATGGTGTCTGTGCTGTGGGTGAGGAATGTTACCATAAAAGAAGTAAAGACTGAGAACTGATGGGGGGGCAAGGAAGAAGATTAGAAGGGCACTGAGGAAGTAGGGCTGAGGAAGTGGGGCTAAGGAAGGGGTAGGAAGCCAGTGCAAACCCTGGGGCCTCAATAAGCTTCATACAAACTTAGGCTTGAACTTCAAAAGAGAGCTGCCCATGATAGTGGCACAGCAGTCAGAAGAAAAACCTGTGAGGGGTGGAGGCTAAGAGGAGTGCACCTCAGACAATGGTTAGTTGCCCCACTCTACCTCGAAGGTCTCTTTCTGGACCTTTTATAATAGTATAAAGCCTCCTGTTCTTCCAGTATTCTAGATTGTCTTTGGTTTCCAGAAAGCAAGGCTGATACTTCTTCAGAGTCCCAAGTAGGGGAAGTTAGGGCCTCTTCCCCCATCCACTCAATGTTAGCACAAGCTAAGAGAGAAGTCCCAGCTCAGAGCGGCAAAGCCGCAGACCTTTGTTAATACTCTCACTTAGGCAGGGAAAGAGCCTAGAAGCTAAAAACTAGAATTCTGTCTAGAGGACATGGAGAGCCTTTTCGGAAGTGCTCCTGAGTCACTGGAGGCCTCTGAAACTGACTGAGGAATGATTGAGAGTGTATATTAGTTATCCCAAGATATTGAGAACAGGGAGTAGACAGAAGGGAGCAACTCTAGAGGCAAAGGAAAGGAGCAATAGTATGAAGAAGACCTACTTCAGTGTGAGATGCCACAGCTGGGAATATAGGAGTATGGATGTGTGTGTGAGATGTTCTCAAAAATAAATATGTATTTCTATTTTTTTGTTTATAGTTACTGAAATATGTTTATATCTTTGTTGTCTATATATGAGAATATAATATAATATATTACAATGGCAACTGTTAATATAACAATATATACAAACGGCAAGGTGTTTGGATGGTTGGCTGAAGAACGAGCCAGACAAATACTGTTCTTGGTTTTGATGTCAGTGTTGTGTTGGATTACAAAAAAGAATTTGTATTGGTATTTATTTAGATTTCTTTCAACTTTAATTTGTTTTAGTAAGTTATTATCCTCAAAATGTCAATGTTTCCATAATTTATGAGTGTGTAATTATACAAAGTTGTGATATTGTGGTTTATAATAAGAAATACATATTTGGTCTTCTTTCCTGCGTTTGGCACAGAGCTCCTGAAACCCTTGGAATTTTGTGTGTAATGAGAACCTTAAAGGTGTCTTTTGTTATGTTAGTGAGAAGACTTTTGGACTTCACCGAAGGATGGTGGGGGGGCTTGTAGCCAGGAGAACTCATGTTATGATTAGAGGGTTGTGACTTTTAGTCATACCCTCCCCACTACCTCTGATATCCAGGGGAGGAAAAAGGGGTTGGAGGTTGAATCAGTCACCAATGGCCAATGATTTGATCAGTCGTGCCTACATAATGAAGCCTCCATAAAAACCCAAGAGGACAGGGTTGGGAGAGCTTCTGGGTTGGTAACTGTGGAGGTGCTAGGAGAGTGGCATGCCTACAGAGGTCGTGGGGGCTCTGCACCCCTTCCTGTACCTTGCCCTCTGCATCTCTTTCACATGGCTGTTCCTGAGTTATATGCTTTAATAATAAACCAGTAATCTAGTAATGGTTCCATAACTTTTGTGAGCTGCTCTAGCAAATTAATTGAACCCAAAGAGGAATCTGTGGTTTATAGCCAGTAGGTAGAAGTACAGGTAACAACCTGTGTGTATGTGGTGGGGGAGGGCAGTCTTGTAGGACTGATCTCTTAACCTGTGGATCTGATGCTATTTTTGGGTAGACAGTGTCAGAATTGAGTTGAATTCTCCCCCTGCTCATGTCTGGGAATTGATTGTTTCTGTGGCAAAAAGACCCCCACTCCTTCAGAGGTTGAAATTGGGTCCAGCAACCTAAATTAAAAGTAACTTTTATTTTTCTCCATTTCTAGGCTTTTTCTTGATTATGATCTCTAATAGTATGTGCATACCACTACTTTTTTTTCTCCCAAGAGTCTTATGTTTATTGCCAAATGTCTGTCTAATTTATGTTCATTCAAGGTACCTGTTAATTTATGGTTATTTTAACTTGCTTTTTCCCTGATTTTATCCCTACTGTATTTCCCTCCCCCTTTTTTTTTTAATTTTTTCTCATTCTCCTCCCCCCCCTTTTTTTTTTCATTACTTTTTATTTATTGGGGAGTATAAAGTTTTCTCTAAATTAATGTCAGACTATATTTCCTACATTTAATGGTGCATTCATTGTCATTAAATAAACTGTAACTACAATTTTGAATTTAGTTTTCTCCAGAAATTGTTGAATTAGGTATTTTTTTTTAAAACTGAATATAGTTGACACACAATGTTACATTGATTAGAGGTGTATAAAAGTGATTTGACAAGTCTTTATATTATGCTATGGTCACCATAAGTGAAGTTTTGTTTTTTTTAAAGGTTGTATTTATTTATTTCACAGAGAGACACATAGCAAGAGAGGGAGCACAAGCAGGGGGAGTGGGAGAAGGAGAAGCAGACTTCCCGCTGAGCAGGGAGCCTGATGTGGGGCTTGATCCCAGGACCCTGGGAACATGACTTGAGCTGAAGGCAGATGCTTAATGACTGAGCCACGCAGGTGCCCCACAAGTGAAGTTTTAATTATATAAATACAGCTGATCCTTGAACAACACAGGTTTGAACTGTGCGGGTCACTTATACACAGATTTTATAAAGTACAGTAATGTATTTTCTTTTCCTTATGATTTACTTATAACATTTTTTTAAACTTAATTGTAAGAATGAAGTATATAATACATATAACATACAAAACGTGTGTTAATTGACAGTTTATGTTATTAGCAAGGCTTCTAATTAACAGGAGGGTGTTAGTAGTTAAATTTGCGGGGAGTCAAAAGTTAAATGTGGATTTTTTTTTAAAATATTTTATTTATTTATTTGACAGACAGAGATCACAAGTAGGCAGAGAGGCAGGCAGAGAGAGAGAGAGAGGAGGAAGCAGGCTCCCTGCTGAGCAGAGAGCCTGATGCGGGGCTCGATCCCAGGACTCTGGGATCATGACCTGAGCCGAAGGCAGAGGCTTTAACCCACTGAGCCACCCAGGCGCC